CCGTTTCAGCGCTAACTGCACTGAGCAGCTTTAGCACTGAGTTCATTTCTTTTAAAAAAGTGTTTTTTTGTTTTTCTCAGGCAGTGGCTTTCATTCACGCCAGTTACTCGGGTCTTTTCAAGTTTGTGCATTAGAAAAATAGGATCATTGTGGGTTTTTTTTCTACAATGAAAAATAATAGTTCTTGTAAAAAGGCTTGTGGCGCAGCGGTTCAAGGTCCCAGCTGTTCCGCTTCTGATCCAGAAGTGCCTAAGAAGGCAGCAGATGGCCTGTTTGGGCCCCTGCACCCACGTGGGAGACCCGGATGGAGTTCCAGGCTCCTGGCTTCTGCCTGGCCCAGCCGTGGCCATTGTTAGCTATTTGGGAAGTGAACAAGCAGATGGAACATCTCTCTCTCTGTCTCTCTCTGTTTCTCTCTCTAACTCTGCCTTTCAAATAAATAATATCTTAAGAGGGAAAAAGAGGCCGGTGCCGCGGCTCACTAGACTAATCCTCTGCCTTGCGGCGCCGGCACACTGGGTTCTAGTCCCGGTCAGGGCGCCAGATTCTGTCCCTGTTGCCCCTCTTCCAGGCCAGCTCTCTGCTGTGGCCAGGGAGTGCAGTGGAGGATGGCCCAAGTGCTTGGGCCCTGCACCCCATGGGAGACCAGGATAAGTACCTGGCTCCTGCCATCAGATCAGCGCGGTGCGCCGGCCGCAGCAGCCATTGGAGGGTGAACCAACGGCAAAAAGGAAGACCTTTCTCTCTGTCTCTCTCTCTCACTGTCCGCTCTGCCTGTCAAAAAATTAAATTAAATTAAAAAAAAAAGAGGGAAAAAGAAGGGAAATTCAAACATTAGTAAAGCATATGGCACAGGAAATACAGGTCTCCTATAATCTCCGCTGCTGGTATGCGCCCCGATATTCTCACGTGCACTCCACTCTCCTGGGGTGAGCATTTGGCGCCTGATCTTTATTTAAAAATGATTTCCAAAGGCCCACGTGAGAGTTGCAGTTCGGTGGTAGAAGAAGCTCCATCTCTGTGCTTTGTGGTCCCTCAGTGACCGCGGGGTAAGCGCTAGTGGAAAAATCGGGAGACCGCACAGTACTTGTGTGCTGACATCCCTTCGCAGGCATTCGAAATGTGTGCCTTTAACTCGCTCGTTAAAAATGCACTGAGTGCCAGCTGTGTGTCAGGTGCTTTTCCCAGCGCTTGGGTTACAGCCGTGAACAAAAAGCAGAGGTGCCTGCCTTCGCGAGCTCACGCCGTGGCAAGCAGACACGATCAACAGTGGACTAAGTAAACCGTAGTGAGCACTAGAAGGCGACCGAGGCTGTGAACGCCCAGCCGAGGAGAGAGGCTCGCTCAGGGTCCAGGTGGTGACTGGGGAGGTCGGAGTGGTTCTCACCCAGATGGCGCCATGTTTAAGCGAAAATGTGGAGGAAGGGAACAAAGAGCGAGACGAAGCCTGGGATGTGTTCGGTTCCAGGGCAGCCATGCCAGGGTCACAGCATTAGGAACCTGATGTTTTCGTTCTTTTTCTTTAAAAATATTTATTTTATTTATTTGAAAGTCAGAATTACACAGAGAGGAGAGGCAGAGAGAGAGGTCTTCCATCCGCTGGGTCATTCCCCAGATGGCCACAACGGCTGGAGCTGCACTGATCCGAAGCCAGGAGCCAGGAGTTTCTTCCAGGTCTCCCACACGGGTGCAGGGACCCAAGGACTTGGGCCATCCTCTACTGCTTTCCCAGGCCACAGCAGAGAACTGGATGGGAAGTGGAACAGCCGGGACTTGAACTTGCGCCCATATGGGAAACATGCACTGCAGGCGGCAGCTTTACCCTCTACGCCACAGCGCCGGCCCCAGGAACCTGGTGTTTTCATTCTCTTCTCAAAGAGCTGCCACATCCATAAAACGTCCCTCACACGGGGCAGCTCAGCTGGTGTGGAAACAACAAGCCTGGGGCCTGGAAAGGGACCTCCACAAAGGGACTCTTCCACTCCCACCTTGGACCATTTGTTTTCTGAGATGAGGGAGGGGCCTGCTTTTTGTTAAGTTCTCCCTCCAGCCAGGCCAGACTCCTCCCAGCGTTGCCTTTAGTCTTCACAGCAGCCCTGGGAGTCAGCAGTAGCCCTATGTTACTCCCACTTCCCAGGGAGGCACGAGGAAGTTACAGGGTTTGCTGGAGGTCATAGGACCAGGAAGTGAGTGAGCTGTGAGCCTGGCTCCCTCCCACTCCAGCCCACGGCCCTGCCTCTCATCTCCTCCCCTTCTTTCTAGGCCGGCCTTCTCAAAGCTGGAGGACTCCTTCGAGGCCCTCTCCCTCTACCTGGGGGAGCTGGGCATTCCGCTGCCAGCAGAGCTGGAGGAGCTGGACCACACTGTGAGCGTGCAGTACGGCCTGACCCGGGACTCGCCTCCCTAGCCCTGGGCCAGCCCCCTGCAGGGGGGCGTGCCCCAGCCCGCCTTGCCCCCTCTGCACCCGACCCCTGCGGTGAGCAGGGCCGTCCTGGCTTCCTGTGGATTGGCGGCTTGTCTAGAAGCAGAACAAGCCATCCCTACTACCTCCCCAGGAGGCAAGCAGGTGCAGCGCCAGGGACGTGCACCTCCACAGGTTCCGGAGCCTGGTGGTCACTGTCGCTCAATCCAACACTCGCCTCAAAGCTGTGAAGAAGAGACACGAGCCTGGACCGTGTGCCAGGAGGAATGTGTTACTTGGGACCACTCGGGGACTCCCTGGCCCTGGGATCCCGGGAGGCTCCTGCTTACACTAATCGGCATGACCTGGACCTGCTGGGCAGTGTCCCGGGGTGCAGGAGGACTTCAAGCGGGCGTGTGGACGAAAGACTGATGGCCGGTGGCACTGGAAGAGCGTGAGATGACAGTGGTGCTCCCCGTGTGCCCTTCAGGTCCTGCCCTCCCTGGGGCAGAGGGGAAGGGAGCAGGCCTTGAAGAGTCCCTTAGTCCAGTGGCCAGGAGGCAAGGATAGGAGGGCTGGTGTCTGCTCACCTGCCAGAGGGTGGCTCGCGCCAGCTCTGGGACCGTATCAAAGTGGGGGGAGGGTGGGGCTCCCACAGGCCAGGGACCACATCACATTTTCAAACTCTACTGCTGGAGGCTGGCTGAGAAGTTTCTGGGTGACATCCTTTCTGTCTGCACCAAGCAAGTCACCCACGAGCACAGGAAGAGGCTGGGGGCCGGGAAGAAAGAGGCCCTGCCTCCTCAAAAGCCCATGTCCTAGCTCCTGTCACTCAGGCCTTGGTGGGCTCCTCAGGCAGACCCCTAAGACACACTGGCTGGAGCTGGATGGTTTCCGGAGGACAGCCTGGCTTGCCACAGGCCTGGGGTCTGAGGCTGGGGAGTGGGCGTCGGCAGTGTCACCCTTCTGTGTGCCTGGTCCAGGTAGCAGCTTGAGTTGTGAAGAGGGAGAGGCAGAGCCCCAGAGCTGAGATGCTGGGAGACAGCTCCCTGACTGGGCCTTCTACCTCCTTTGTTGGCTGGCCCAACTCACTAGCCGCTGGCCACAGCCCCCTGAGCCACCCTGCAGGACCAAGGGCACTGGACAGCCTGAGGTCCCCCACCTGGGCTCCCAGAGCTCCGGGCATTCTTCAGCATGACTTGGATTTGCCTCCTAAGTGGCTGTGAGCTTGCACCATATTTAACAAATCGGGAGTGGTTTGGGGTGGTTGTACTGTGGGGAGGGGGTGTGGCCCTGGAGAGTGGTTGCTGTTAATATTCCCTTGTCGTTCCATCTGGTGGGTGAGATGTGAAATGTTGTACATAGACCTGATGAGTGGTGGGATCAGGTGTCATCTCTGGCGATGCAGACTGCCCTTGCGTGTGCAGCTCGCAAGCTCGCGGCGGGTCGAGCCCCGGACTCGCAGCAGCAGCAGCCTGGCTCGGCCTCGTTTGGCTGGCTGCGCCTCAGCTGTCTGCAGCAAGCACGGGCGGGGTGGGCCTGAGCTGGGCCGCTGAGCAGACTAAATAAATCAAGTGGTTACCTGAGTGACGAGCCTTAGAGTGAAAAGGTGACTCGGAGGTGGCCCAGGCCACACAGCTGCCCACCACAGGCAGTGCTCGGGCACCCAGTCTCCTCCCCTCCTCCTCGTGCCACACACCAGCCCACGCCAGAAAATGTGGGATCCGGCTGAGGCAGCAGGTCTGCCCTCCTCGTGGCCAGGCTGCTCTTCCTTGTTCTGTCTCCGGGCTGGGTCCTTCCTCTCAGCCCTGCACTCTGACCTCTAACGCAGGAGCACTTCTCCAGCCCGGGCCTCCTGGCTTTCTCTCCACAGGGCTGGGTTCACCCTTGCAGTGGGGAGAAACGAATGCAGGTCAGCCCGCCCCAAGGGTGGGCGTGGAGAAGCCCCACTGCTCGTGCCTTCTGCGTACGGCAGGACGCGGAGTGACCACTGGGCGGGATGATGCCGTCTGCCTAGCTGGGGGTCGTGGGCACAATATGAACCCATAAACCTAAAGGTAATTCCTCTCAAGCACTCCCGGGGCTTGAGGAATCCAGGACAAGAGCAGAACTTGGTTCCTGAAAATCCTGATGATCTGGGGGTAGTGGTGGAACTATAGAGCGATGGCTGGGCACGGGCACAGGTCACCCTGCGGATTCCTGGCGGCTCAGAACCAACTGTCCTGGAGCCCTGGGAATCGGCCTGCGGGGCCTCCCTCAGCCCCTGGCTGCTGCGGTACCGTCCCCGACCCCAGCCCTGACACGGGCTGTGACCTCACTCCCCCTCGGGGAGAGCTTGGCGATGACCGCTCGCCGTCTTGGGATGCCCACCCACTCGTGCTTCCTGTGGCTCCGACCTGGGAGATTCCTGCTGAGAGCGGCGACCAGGAAGCAGAGTCTATCAACGGCTGCCGCCCTCGGGTTCGAGAGCCTTCCAGTTTCTGGTCTAGGGTGAGCGAAGAGCAGGCTGGCGCTCGCCGCACAGGCTTTGACGAGGTGACCCGAAGCTTCCCAACTTACAGGGGGAGTGCTTGTGGCACTCAAAAAAAAACCAACAATGTCGTGTTTTTGTTTGTTTTTAATATAAGTCCGATGCAGAGCAACTTCTCGTCCTTTATACGCAGGTGTCAGTATGAGGTATATAAAACATGTGTACAGAGAAACGCTGTTGTAGAAAAGTAGAAACCAGTAATGTTCTCTACTCCAGCATCATGAACACCAGGGGACCCCCTGAGGTCTAGGCCCCCTCAGCAGATGGTTCCCGGGAACAGTCTGCTGGGGGGGCTCCACTCACCCCCCTCTCCACTTCGGGCAGTAGAAGGGCTCTGGGAAGGAAGCCCTGTGGCTAGGGAGCACGGCAAGGGCCTCCAAGTGTGACGTCAGGACTTGGAGGGCCCGCCGAGCCCCTAGCACAGTGCAGCACAGTGCATTGGAGAAATGTTGGCGCTCGGTCAGGCAGCCGGGCTCCCCTCTCAGCCGTGCCAGGAGCCTGCTCTCTGACCTTGGGCGAGTCGCTCCTCCCTCCCTGTGTCCAAAAGGCTTGAAGAACCCTACAGTCCTTTCCGATGGCTCCACAGTTGTTCTGCAGGTTAGGGGATGTGACCCTAGCCCCACTGCCCCATAGGAAGGCACTGGCCTGGAGGCCACAGGGCCACCTCCAAACTCGGGCCCACTGCACAGCAAGCCCGGAAATGCTTTGCTAACCTTGCTCTCCAAGTTTACTTCTCAGAAGCGGGTCACAGGGCCCACAGTGCGATTCTCATGGGTTAGCTGGCTGCTCTCTTACCCGTACAAAATGAGGTCACTGCCCAACCCTGCCGGGACGCTGTCTGGGCACCTCAGGTCCACCTCTGCCCCTGTGGCCTAAGGCAGGAGCAGACCCTTCTCTGCCTTCTTCCTAAGTGGAATGTTTAGTGCAATTCTTCCCTTCCTTCCCTTAGGAAACAAGGAAGGGTCCCTGGGCCCAGGCCCGGCCCACGGTTGTCAAGGCACATCACTGCTAGCAAGCTGGAGCACACCCAACAGCCCCTAGCCCAGATCCTGTCCTCAGCCCACAAGCTCTGACTTCTGTACAGACCCGTTTCCGGTTCTCAGAGGTCAGCAGGGAGTTCCATCCTGAATATTTTCAAGACTAAATATATTTTTTTCAGTGCCACTGCCTCTTGGCCTGCCTGACCTTAACTATGAATAACAGTGTACGCCACTGAACCCGTGGAAAACAAATGGGAAGGCGGAGACCGAGGCCGTCTTAGGAGAGCACAGGGAGCCTGGGGAAGCTCTCCCCGCCTCGTCCCTGGCTCGCTTCCAGGGTGCAGGCCGTTTGGAAGCCCTTGTCGGCAGCCCCGCCGTGGGAGCTGCCACGATCCCCGTCCACAGGCACAAATCCTCTCCAAGTGATGGAGAAGGAGCATTGGTAGGCCCCTACCCAGCCTCGCCTCGGCCTACAGCGCCACATGCTTCTGGCTTTGGAATTCACCAAAAAGAAAAAAGTAGGGGTAGGGTTTGAACCGCAGAGTGTAGACTCCCAGCTGTAGGAATCGGGGCTCCCCTGCGCCAGCGTCTGCATGGGCTCCTGCCCTCCGGCGGGGCTCAGGCCCCAGGAGTGCCGGCCTGGCCCATGAGGGGAGTGCTGCCCTCCTGAAGATCCACCGGGGTCTGGCTGGCGTGGACCACGATGGTCTTCTCGTCCACAATCTCACAGGTGGGGTTGGTGAAGGCAGACAGGGGCAGGGTGATTCGCTGCATCTCCCTCTCGCACGCTTTCTGCTCGTGCTGGGCTTTCAGGTCCTTCCCCCTGGCAAGAAGAAAGGGAGACGTTCAGGTGGGGTCTCTGCGTGGCTTTGCTCTGTAGCAGCCGGGAGGCCCGGGCAGGAGCAGGGGCTCTCGGCGGCTGGTCCAGGAGGACCCAGGTCCCAGACACCGGGTTTCTGTTCTTCAAGATGGTCTTAACCAGGAGCTCCTGCGCCTCCCGTCTGTGCTTCCGCAGATGTGTGATGGGGGCAGCAGCAGTGGGGCCTCGTGTTTCTGCAGTGGGGCTCAATGGAGATCACGTCGGGGGAAGAGGCTTTTTCAGCCCAGGTCTACATGAGACCCAGAAAACTACCTCAGCTTTGGCCCTAACCCATAAAGCTGTACAGAAGACCGACCTGGCCATCGTCATCGCATTCCAGGACAACCTTCTTATTCAAAAGTCCCAGAGGGTGTGAGCCCAGGCTGGAAATGGACCGTCCCGACCCATGCCTGGAGCGAAAAGGACTCTCAGGTCCGCGGGAGACGAGAGTGACCATCAGAGCTCTCAGGGTTTCCACATCCTCTGAATTCTCACGGTGCTGCTCCCTTCTGGGGAGAGCCCACTGCGTGCTAAGGACTTGGTACGTGTTACGTCACTTCCTTCTCAGCCCAGTCCTAAGAATCAGGTCTTAATTGTTTTGAAGACGAGGAAAGGGCCCAGAGAAGTTACAAGAACTCCCCAAGGATGTGATGGGCTCAAACCCAAGACTGCTGGACTCTGGCTGATGATCAGAGAAATGTTGACCTGAGTGATGTTGCCCTACAAGAAACGTGTGGCAGGGCCGGCGCTGTGGCACAGCGGTTAACGCCCTGGCCTGAAGCACTGGCAGCCCGTATGGGCGCAGGTTCAAGTCCCAGCTGCTCCACTTCCGATCCAGCTCTCTGCTATGGCCTGGGAAAGCAGTAGAAGATGGCCCAAGTCCTTGGGCCCCTACACTCAAGTGGGAGACCCGGAAGAAGCTCCTGGCTCCTGGCTTCGGATCAGTGCAGCTCCGGCCGTTGTGGCCATCTGGGGAGTGACCCAGCGGACGGAAGACCTCTCTCTTTCTCTCTCTGCCTCTCCTCTCTGTGTAACTCTGACTTTCAAATAAATAAATCTAAAAAAAAGAAAAGAAAAGAAAAGAAAAGTGCGGCAGGGACTCAAACCCAGTCCCCACTGCCAACCGGAGGGCTTGGTGAGTGCGTGGCACATTGCACACCAAAACCAGCACCCAGAACCCAAGTCCGCTTCCTCTGAGGCCAGCAGCTAGCCACCTGGGCTCAGCCACAGAGGAAATCTTCCCGGAGAGAGCCTTGGACAGCGGCTGCCGTGTGACGTGCTGAAGCACTGCAGCCCTGCCTGTCGTGTCGCGGCCTCGGGGACAGTGATGGGATGCGCAGTGACAGAGGCTTCCAGATACCAGAGAAGACGACTGGGAAACGGGACAGCAGGAGGGGCAGGCGAGAGAAGAAGAGTTTGCATGGTGTCTCAGAACCGTCTAGATCATCCAGGGTGTTGCGTGCGTGAGCGTGCGCACGTGTGTGGTTGTTTTGCATCTGTTTTTTGGAACAGCAGGGGGGAAAAGAGTCCCCATCTGCCAGTTCCCTCCCCAAATGCCCACAGCTGGTGAGGTTGGGCCAGGCTGAAGCCAGGAGCTGGAAACTCAAATCTGTGTCTCCCACGTGGGTGGTAGGGATGCAGCGACTTGAGCCATCGCCTGCTGCCTCCCAGGGGGTGCGTTAGCAGGAAGCTGGAATCGGGAAGTCAGGAGAGATGCAGGGATCCCAAATCGGATCTGGGAGTCGGTCCCCAGTACCTGCTATGCCAAACGCCTGCCCCCATCCCGTCCTTTCCGCGTGTGTTCCTGTGCCAGCTCAGCTTTAGCTGTGCGATGCTTGGTAAAGACCTCTCTGAGCCTTGTTTTCCTCTTCTGCCTCCAAAGAAGACAATGAATGTGAAAGCGTTTTGCACACAGTACAGCTGCTGTAAAAGCTCCTGGGACGTGACTAGGACGACTCACCCAGCAATGTTATTCTAATTTAGTTTCCCAAGGAAGCTCTCCTGCTGACCAGCCAAGGCAGGCTGTTTGTGCGACCGCTGTAATCCCCTCCTCTGGGCCTTAATCCATCTTCCCTAAAGCAAGGAGTTGGACTTAGACTCCAGGGCCCTGCTGTTCTGATTTCCTGGTTCTGTGAGATCACAGGAGGCAGAGGTGTGAGCTCATTACCCTGAGTGGCTCCGAGGGGGTGACAGTCTGACCGTCCCAGCCTCGGGTGCCTGCCTCCTCTTCCTCATTAGTCTCACTACTGGACACCACAAAAACTCCCAGGGCACCCAGAGAGCCAATGAAGGGACACTGCTCACGGGGTTAGGGTCATCTGGGTCAACTGCCCTCCCACTTGTGCTGAGATTCACACTGCCCTTGGGCCCCGGTCATCATGTACAGCGGCCACGACACATAATGAAGAAAAAAAAAAAAAAGCCAGATTTTTCCATATAGGGAAAAACCTGGAAGGTCTAAGGTGGTTTTTTTGTTTGTTTGTTTTTTGTTTTTTTTCCAGGCAGAGTTAGACAATGAGAGAGACAGAGAGAAAGGTCTTCCTTTGCTGTTGGTTCACCCCCAAAGTGGCCGCTACGGCCGGTGCACTGCTTCCTCCTGGTCTCCCATGCGGGTACAGGGCCCAAGCACTTGGGCCAGCCTCCACTGCCCTCCTGGGCCACAGCAGAGAGCTGGAAAGGAAGAGGGGCAACCGGGACTAGAACCTGGGGTGCCGGCGCCGCAGGCGGAGGACCAGCCAAGTGAGCCGCGGCACCGGCCAGGTGTCTTTTGCCAAGGCCTGAATTTCAAAACACAAGGGCCTGGAGGGAAAAGGAAAGCCAGCACTTGTAACTTCTGAGTGCCTGCTAAGGGACCAGGAAGTGGGCCTCCTGTTATCCAGGATGAGCTACCGTGCGCCTCGTGGGTGCCACACCTTCTGTATTCGCGCCATGCTTTTAATTTCCAAGCCCTTTTTATAGATGCAGAAACTGAGGCGTTGGAGGCACGCCAGAGCCCTGCTCTCCCCAGCCACCTCCTTTACTGAGAGATTTATGAGCTGTGGCCAGCTGAGCTGCTGACAGTGTCAGGCCGAACATACTTAAGTCTTCAGGAGGGAAAAATCAATGCGCATTACGGGGGCAGGGCAGGGCTAGCAGAGCAGCCAAGGGTGAAAGAGGCAGGTGCCGGGACTGCTCTGGGTTCGGCTCATCCACTTAGAAGCCCAGCAGCACGCCCAACCCCACGTGCCTGCTGTTAATGGTGCCTGTAAGTCTCAGAGATGCAATGGCTGCCCCCAGCTCCCTCGGGAGGCGTTGAGAGAGGCCACCAGGCCTGCTGCGCTCACCATCAGGCGGCCCAGCCCCCTCTCCCTGCCTGGAGGGGCGGAGGCCCAGCCTGGCTGCTGTCTAGCAGCCAAGAAAGAACAAAAGGTTCATTCTCTGACTCAGCTCCTCTGCTAAGCGGGTGGGGCGGTGTTGACTTACTTTTTTTTTTCCCCCTATCAGAACATAAGAGCTCCCCCGGGGCCTAGTGCAGACAGCACACTTGGACAGGCACAGGGAGCTGCTCAGTAGTAGACCGGCCACCTGAACCCCGTGGCCCGGACAACCAGGACAAAGACCCAGCCGAGCCAGGGGAAAGCGCCATCGCATTAGCCCAGCCTGATGGCCTCTGGCAGGGTTCAAGGCTTGCAGGGAGGACCCTGAGAGCTGCAGGGCCGGCCGTGCAGGACTGGGCTGGTCAGAGAGCACAGGTGCCTCTGGCGTCCTCTCCCGGGCTAAGGGAAACACCTGGACCTCCTCGGGTAACACAGGGAGTGCTGTGTCACCCCACTGCTGGGGAAAGTTGGCCCAGGAAGCTATGGATTCTGCAGCCTCCATCTACAACGTCTGATTCCACCCCTACAACACCTCTCTCTGTCACAGGTGTCGCCTGTGATCTCCGTCTTCAAGATGGGAAGACGGATCCACGGGGTGAACTCATCTGTTCAAGCCAGCTGCAGAGCTGGGATTCGAGCCACGTATGACCGCGGGTCAGGACCGTTTTTGGAGGAACTAGCAGAGCCTGGAGGGTTATCATCTGTCACCCCCTGCCCCCGCACTGTTTTACAGACTGAGGCCGGGGGAAGGTAAATAGCTTGCCCAATGTCACATCCTGAATGGGTGCCAGTTCTAGAACTAGACCCTGGGTCTTCTGACTTCTAAACCCAGCCTTTTTATTTTTATTTATTTTTTTTTTGAAAGTTTATTTTGCCTACTGTCCTTTGCAGCTACTGGGCCTTGGTGGAGGTGCTGCTCATGGTGAGACAAACCCCGCTAGCTGCGGCGCTTGGACCGCTGCTCACTGCAAGTGGAGTCAAAAGTGCGTCTGTGTTTTGAGGCTTGGGTGAGAGCATGTCACGGGCCTTCCTTACTGAAAAAGCACAAAACAAACGCTGGCTGCTATCACGGTGACTGCCTATGGCTGCCTCCCGCTTCCACGCAATACCTGTCTGTGCTCAGCTTGCCTGGGCGGATGTGGGGAGGGGCTGCATCGCTATTGAACAGACAGAATGCTGGGGCTGAGAGGCCCCCTCAGCCTACAGCTCTTTCCAGAACACCCTGGTCTCCGCCTTTGGGCAGAGATGGCAGCTGAGAGCTTGTCTCCAGCCCACATGTGGTTTCCTGTTGTACAGTCTGTTCTCCGAGCAGTTTTATTGAGGAAAAGAGTGGACACGTGGTGGGTGACGGCGAGTCACGTGACGTGCTGCCCTGCCCTGAGTTTACAGGAAAAGTAAAGGGAGGATCCTTGACAGCCTGGGGGAGAAATCTTCAGAAAAAAGAGCCTGGCTTCCCCACTGGGCACCAGAACTGGGCTCGGGATTAGGAAGGCCTGGAAACCGTCACCAGATTGGAGGAGAGCCAACTGCTGTCCAGTGAATCAGGAAGCAGGGCTAAAGTGAACCAGCGTGCTTTGGGTCTGACAGTGGACAGGGAGGCCAGGGCTGTGAGGACATGTTCCTCTCCGAAAGGAACACGCAGGCGTCCCTGCACCTGCCATCCCACTGTGGGCCACAACCTGTTCCTGAATCACAGAAAAGAGGTTGGCACTGTGGCACGGCAGGTTACGCCACCACCCGCAAGGCCACCATCCCACATGGGCGTCTGTTAGGGTCCTGGCTGCTCCACTTCCAATCCAGTTCCCTGCTAACGTGCGTGGGAAAGCAGCAGAGGATGGCCCAAATGCCTGGGTCCCTGCCACTCAGATGAAGCTCCTGGCTCCTGACTTCAGCCTGGCCCAGCCCTGGCCGTTGCAGCCATTTGGGGAATGAACCAGCGGATGGAAGACCTCTTTCCCTCTCCATCTCTCCCTCTCTGTTACTCCACCTTTGAAAGAAATAAATCAATCTTTAAAAAAAGGAATCAAGAGATGGAAGGGGGTTTGGAGGGCATCAATGCACTACCCCCATTTCCCAGAAAAATAAAGACCAGCTGTTTACTGCCACTCACCCTGTGCCCTCACTGAGCTAAGCAGGTACGTGCCTTAGCCCCCACAGCAATGCTGCTGCTAGGATACGGGCACAACCTTCGCAGACTCATGCAGACAGCCAGTTAGTACCAGGGCTAGGACTTCCTCTACCAACTGCTAGGTATGTAACCTCAGGCGGATACTCCTCCCCTCTCGCCTCAGTCTCCTCATCTGTAGACTAGGGATAATAACAGCATTTCCCTTATAAGGGTGATTGTGAGAAGCACATTAATGCAGGCAAAGTGCTTGAAGCACATATATGGTCAATGTTTGCTATTGCTGCTGTTATTATCACCTAGGTACCCTTTCGCCTATAAAATGAAGAGCTCATGGGCCTGCATCGGGGCACAGCAGTGCTGCCTGCCTGTGACACCGGCGGCCCATATGGACACCAGTTCCAGGCCTGGCTGTTCCACTTTCTGATCCAGCTCCCGGCTAATGCGCTGGGAAAGCAGCGGAAGACAGTCCAAGTGCTTGAGCCCCTGTATCCATGAGGGAAACCTGCAAGAAGCTCCTGGCTCCTGGCTTTGTCCTGGCAGAGCCCTGGCCATTGCAACCATTTGGGGAGTGAACCAGTGGATGGAAGCTATCTCTATCTGTCTATCTGTCTCTCTCTCTTCCTCTCTCTGTATGACTTTGACTTTCAAATAAATTTTTTTAATGAAGAGGTAAGCTACAGCATTTCTGAAGAACCCTAGGTTATATAATAAATCTACTGGGGCTGTGGCTCAGGCATGGCTCTCAACCCTGGAAAATGCAGGTCACCGTCTCACTGTCACCTCCCTAACAGGAAGACGTAGCCCATAGAGAAGATGTATCACAGACACTCAGCTGGAAGTCAAATCCCCTGATCTTTGCCAAAAAGCAGTAAATAATTTCCCAGAGCAAGGCACTGCTGTAGAATTGAATTAAACTCCGCTTATTATCATGCACCCATTTCTGACTTGGAGAACCTTTTCCAAATGGCATCCCAGGGGACCTTCCAAAATTAGCATTCCGCCTCCTGCTGTCCCAGCCACAAATCATGTCCCTAAGTTAGCCTCTGGGTTGGTTGTTGTTTTTTTTTTTTTTCCTGTTTGTTCATTGTTTGTTTTCTTAAGATCTATTTATTTATTTGAAAGGCAGAGTGACCAGAGAAGGGGGTGTCTTCCATCTGCTAGTTCGCTCCCCAAATGGCCACAAAAGCCGGGGCTGGGCTAAGCTGAAGTCAGGAGCTAGTAACTCCATTCATGTCTCCCACATGGGTGGCAGGAGCCCAGGTACTTGGACCATCTTCCACTTTCCCACTTTTCTGATCTGATCTAGCAAGGAGCTGGGGTCAGAAATAGAGTAGCCAGGACTCGAATCAGGCACTCTGACATGGAATGCCAGCGTTGCAGGCAGTGGCTTAACCTGCTGCACCACATCGTCAGCCCACAGGTAGCCTCTCTGGATTTCACGTGTGAGAAGGAACAGCTAACAGGCTATCCGCCAGCTCACTTTTTTCCTCCTACCCTAGAGGAGACCTCACTGCATATGGACTAGGAAATGTACATTCCAACAACAAAAACTGTGTCTGTAGCAGAATTTTATAACCCACAGAAATAATTCAGTCTCCGGGCCCCTGCAATGAGTACCCAGCTTAATTTCTACAGCGCCACCCACTCCCCATGCCAGGCAGGTTGGATGAGACAGCAGGGCATTTGGTATGAAAAGTGAGGTTGCGGGGGGGTGGGGGGTGACCTCTGGCACAGCAGTTAAGCTCCTGCTCGGGACGCCAGCATCTCATATCCAAGTGCCTGAGTTCAAGTTCTGGCTTCTTTCTCCATTCTAGCTTCCTGCTAATGTGCACCCCGGGAGGCAGCAGGTGACAAATAGTTGGGTCCCTGCCACCTGGCGGGAGACCAGGACTGGCTCCTGGCTTCGACCTGGCCCAGCTCAGCCCTGGCTGTTGTGGGCATTTGGGAAGTGAACCAAGGCATAAAAGATGTCTGTCCCTCTCCCTCACTCTCTGCCTTTAGATAGATGGGATAGGGATAGGGATAGGGATAGGGATAGGGATAGGGATAGGGATAGGGAGAGCGGAGTCGGAACCTTTGCATCCAGGTCCTGCCACTCCAGGCAGTGTGACCTCAGGCAGTCAGTTCTCCTCTCTCACAAAGAATCCCTGCCTCGCAAGGTGTTTGAGTGCAAAGTGACAGCACCAAACGAAAGGGTCTACCCAGGGTCACCTGGTAGAGACCAGAGCCAAGTTTCTCCATCTTAAGCTGGTTTCCATTCTTTCAACACCTCACTGCCTTTTAGGTCAGAAAGCCCCAGAGGAAGCTCACTTGACTTAACCCCCTCCTCTAAGAGAGAACCTACTGACCTCTTGTAGGTGTAGCCCAAGATGATGCCAGTCCCGATGGCGATGATAATCACCATCATGGTGATGCCCAGCACGTAACCTGCGGGAGACAGGACACAAGGCCCCATTAGCCACGCCCCAGCCAGTCAGCAAACGCCTCCCAAAACGAGCGGGGGGTGGGGCACTCATACCCAGAGTCCCCAGGTCCTTCTTCTCCTTGGAGTTCATCCGCACCCGCTGGCCGATCCCCACCGCGGGCTGCACGGCTGCCGCCTCGCTCCGGGCGGGCAGGGCCTTGGCAGGCGGGAACGCCTGCGCTTCGTCCTCACCCGGCGCATCCGGGGCCTCGGCCATTTCCACCGTGGAGGCTGGCGGGCCCAGGGAGGTGGTCTCTGGAGGTGAGGTGGGAAATAGCTCTCATCAAAGACTGCCCTGCGTGAACTGCACAGCTGATCCTGGACCAAAGTGCAGGGGGCGCAGAAGGAGGGTCCACCGTAGAATACCACCGCCCTACACACCCTGAAGTCAACCCTCCTCCCCGGAGCTGCACCATCGCGGGGGCAAAGCAAATGAGCGGGGAAGGGTCTCTCTCTTGCCCCCCATGCCTTCCTCTTTTCAAATCCATGTTATCTTCCCCAGCGGGTTCCGCCACCTCCCCATTAGGAAAACTAACTTGACTCCTCCAAGCCTCTCACACTCATCACTGACCACATGCTTTGTGCCAACCCCAACGCTAAATGCTTCACCGTGATGATCACGTTTAACCCTTGCCGCGGGAGCAGCAAGCCTAAAAAATCCGGATTCATATAAGCACCCTGACACTGCCCACGGTGAGTCGCAGAACTTCTCCGAGGCCCCCCAACATCCCTAGCACCAGAGACGCTCGCCCCGGAGACACCCTCCTGGCGCACTGCGCGGCGCCGCGCGCGGGCTCGCCTCGCAAGGTTGTTTACAAGCGCTCGCGGAGGATGAGGTCACTCCGAGCGGCGGCGGCGGCCAATCGGCTTTGAGCCTCGCGGCCTGGAGACAGCCCTGGCCAATCGCGCGGCGCGGGGGCGGGGCAGGGCCGGCCGGCGTCTCGCGACCACACGTGCGCGGCGGGTGTAGCCGCCGCTCCCAGTCAGCGGGCGGGCGGCGCGGAGGGTCGCGGGTTCCGGCGACTATCAGAGCCGCTACCTGGGCAGCGCAGATCCTCGCACGGCCGTTTCTCAGGGGCGCCCGTCTGGCCGCTAACGTAGCACCAAGGCCCGCGAGGGTCGTGGTCGGGGTTCCGGCAGTAGTTGTGGTTACCAGCGCCTGACGGGGAGAGAAGGCGCCATTGGCCTGGGGGGGCCGGGGTCAGGCCCGCGGCCAGGCCCGCGGCCTCCGCCCGCCCTCCAGCCAGCCAGCCAGCCAGCCCCGCCCGTCGGCCCAGCGGCCACTCACCCGACTCGGGGCCAGACGCCAGGGCGCCCTGCGCGTCCAGCCAGTTGAGGCAGTGGAGGCCCGGCGCTGGCGAGGGCTGGTCCTCCCGGTACAGGTGACCGTTGTCCCAGAAGCAGCCTGTGAAGCAGGACCCCCGCCCCGGTTCCTGAGTGGCGGACAGCCCGCGGAAGGCGCCCAACCTGACGGGCAGGGCAGCCGGGACGCCACCCCGGCTGCGCCCCTCACCCGGCTGGAGGTCCCTGGGCCCTGTGACAGGGACCTCCGGGTCCTCGCGTGGGAAACTTCGCCTCGAAGGGAGGCTGTGAGGCCCTAAGTGATGGCAGAGAAAGAGCTTGAAAAGCCCCTAGGCGGTATCGGGCAGCGGTCAAGTGCAGGGCGCTGTCAACTCTTGAACTGGTGACCACTTTGGTGGGGAAGGGGAGAGACTTCGGGTCCCTTTGTGGAGGAGGTGGTGGCGCTTTGGGATCGGGGGCAGGGGGCTGCCACACTTGATAATCAGCCCCCTGTTGTCATGTCCGTGTTACATAAACTGGTGTTCCCTCCTCCGGGGTACAGCCACCGCCTGCCAGTTTTTTTAAGAGGCAACGTTCAGCCCCAACAGAAGTCTACGAAAGCCTGGATTCAGTCAGGCAAGGGTTCAAGAGCTTCCTACGGGGGGCGGGGTGGGGGTCCTGCCTGGATGTGACTCCAGACTCCCACTCCCCTTGGCGAGAGAGCCCCAGGAAGAGGCTGGGGCGGGAAGGCCTGTGCCCTGGCCACAGTGTGCCCAGCGCTTCAAAAGGACAGGAGTTGGGGAGTCGGGGAGATGCCACCTCCCCCCTGCCAAGCTCCGTCCACTCTTGAGCAAGCGAAAGGAAAGAGAAAGTGGCCACTTGCCTTTGTTCTTAATGGCAAAGATGGAGCTGCAAGCCCCTGACCAGGCAAGGAAGAGAAATGGAAAAAAGCTTGCACAGGACAACAAAGACCAGCTAAAAGCCTCACTTCCCGGCTCCGTTTGGGAAACAGAGTCTCCGGGGTCTGCATCCTTAAGTTGCTGGAGAAAGGAAAGATTGTTTTCTCACCTCCAGATCCATAGGCTTCTGCAAGGAGCATGTTGCTTAGGACGAACGTTTGTACCCAGGCCAACTGCATCCTCCCCTCCTCCATCCTGCAGGTGACCGGACAGCCAGTGTCCAGCTGGGGTCCCCTTGGCAGCGGCTCCGCCTCGCCGTCCCAGCCTTGCAGTGAGACCTGCCCTTGCCACGGCTCTTCTGGTAAACAGCCTCTCTTTAGAACTGAGAGCTTCCCAGCCAGCTTGCTGCAGCGCGAGGTGTTTTTCAGCTATGAAGCGCCCCCTGGGTCCTAAGCCTCCTATGCCAGGCAAGATCGCTAACCCTGAGCCAAGAGAGGCGCTCAGCCAAGCGCAGAGAAGCCGGCAAGGTTCAGGCTGTGCTTAGCCGCGGATCAGTTTGAGACCTGCACGGCTGCATCCCCAGGGCTTTGCATCTCTTCTGTTTCCATTTGTGTAAGTACAGAATTATTCTGTCAAGAGGCATCATGGCGGGGAGGGGGGGCGGGGGGGCGGGGGGGCGGGCGGGGGGAGGGTAAAAGCACTAAGGCACAGACACCTGAGGGAGGAAGTGTTAACTACACAACACAAGGATTTCGAAGACCACGGAGGGGGCACCTAAGAGTATCTGGGCAGAAGTAACTCTTTACATCTTTCCTGGAAAAGGGCCTCTGTGGGTCACACATGTTTATGAGCTGTGGCACTTTTTTTTTTTTTTAAGTGTAACTTTGCCAGGGTCAGATCAAACACATTTTTTTTTGCTTACATTTGCGATTTGGAGTGTCCATATTTAGTAGGAATACAGAAGGGGTATCTATAGTTGAAAATACATGTTAGGCAAACATTGGAAAATTTGCCCAGCCATGTTGTAATACACATCTGCCCTTTCTACCAGCCCTGAGTTGTTATAGAGGAAGTTAAGTAAAATATTTGCTTCCCTCCACCCCCACCCCATGGGAAATCCATTTGCAGCGATTTATAAACCTCACCACATCCATATGACTCGGGCCTTTTGGAGAGAGGCCGAAGAGCCCTGTTCTTGTTTGGCTGCCGGTTCAAGTTCAAAGGCAGCCTCAGGAAACTGAGAGATAGAGCAGAGTGGTTCGCCAGGACTACCTTGTGACTCAGGCAAATCTCAAAATAGTAATGGGAGACTCTCAGTTTTGCAGGCAGTACTTTAGGGAGGGGGAAAGTACTAAATAAACTTGAAAAGCTTTCTCAAGGAAAGAAAGCTCCCGTGAATCCACGTAGCCTAACGCGGATTTGAATCCATCACACTCGGATTTCAGACAAGGAAGGGTTCAGAGGTACATTTGGTTTACTCTTAAAGCAGTTTGCAGGCAGTGTTCGATTGCTTTAATCCATTTAATAAGCTCTGTTGCTTTGTTTCTGCAGCCATTCTCCTACCTTCTTCTCACATAACTTCTGACTCCGTGACTTGGTTTATGCTGTCACTCCAGAATCTAAATTTATTCACATATACACACATAGATACAGATGGGACAAGATGTTAGAATTTAACAGGTCTGACATCGTAGCCTTTTAGCATTTTTATTAATTTTACAAATATTTTTGATAACCTACTACACGCTGGATACAGTTTTAGATGCTGGGGGTATATCTGTGAACAAAATATTTGAAGTCTAGGCCATCATGGGGAAACAGCTGACAAATAGGTAAAATGTCAAGTAGTCTTAAGCCTTAAGAAAAAAAGTGAAACAGGATAAGGGCAAACGCAACGGGATGATTTCATTTGCTAAAGAAAGTTCGTACTTTATCCAGAGAACAGCAGGGTATCTATATGGGCACAAGGCTGAAGGGGAAGCTCTCTTCACAGTTTGCCTTGTGGGTCCCATGCTTACTCTTAACACCACTGCAAGAGATACTTGGTGGCCGGCGCCGCGGCTCACTAGGCTAATCCTCCGCCTTGCGGCGCCGGCACACCGGGTTCTAGTCCCGGTCGGGGCGCCGGATTCTGTCCCGGTTGCCCCTCTTCCAGGCCAGCTCTCTGCTGTGGCCAGGGAGTGCAGTGGAGGATGGCCCAGGTGCTTGGGCCCTGCACCCCATGGGAGACCAGGAGAAGCACCTGGCTCCTGGCTCCTGCCATCGGATCAGCGCGGTGCGCCGGCCGCAGCGCGCCGGCCGCGGCGGCCATTGGAGGGTGAACCAACGGCAAAAGGAAGACCTTTCTCTCTGTCTCTCTCTCTCACTGTCCACTCTGCCTGTCAAAAAAAAAAAAATAAATAAATAAAAAATAAATAAATAAAAAATAAAAAAAGATACTTGGTGTACATTGTGTTTCATCCCTCGAAATAAGTAGGCTTGAGAAAAGCAGAGCACAATTTTTAATTTTCTGAGCAGCAGGGGGCTTTGGGGGGCTGATCTCTTAGCACCTAATCTGTTGGCTTTGTGTTCGGTGAGTGCTTCCTTACTGATGTCTGGTGAAATGTGTCGCCTCCTCTAAAGGGCTGTTTCGGTACATTGCAATACTCTGTTCTATGACTGATAATGAAAGGATATGACAAGCCTCTTTAGATTACCTCCTGTACCCATACAGTAGTTTTACCTCAGAAACACAAAGATTCCTAACATGTTGCTGTTACCTAGTTTTTCTGTTTTAAAAACCTGTTTTCTTGGGGGCCTGCATTGTGTTGTCGCAGGTGAAGCTGCCGCCTGCAACACTGACATCCCATATAGACCCCACTGCTCCAGTTCTGATCCAGCTCCCTGCCAATGTGCCTGGAAAAGCAAGGGAAGATGGCCCAAGTGCTTGGACCCCTGCCACCATGTGGGAGATCAGGAAGAAGCTCCTGGCTCCTGGCTGCAGTCTGGCCCCACCCTGGCCATCGCAGCCATTTGGGGAGTGAACCAGCAAATGGAAGATCTGTCTGTCTGTCTCTGTCTCTTCCTCACTTTGTGTAACTCTGACTTTCAAATAAATCTTTTTAAAAAAATGTTAAAACAGCTGTCATCTCTAACTTACATACCTTGATATATACCAAAACCATATTTCATGACATGTCTTAGCAGAAGCAGAACTGCCTAGGAAAGATCTGACAGGCCAGAAGGAGATGGTTTTGAGCTTAGTCATCTCTGTTCTTTGTCCTCTGTAACAAGACATTTATCAGCATGATTTGATTTTTTTCAGCAATAAAGGGCTTGTTTCTCAATCCTTCAAAGGCATATTCTATTATAATAGATTCAGTACCTTTCTTCCTCAAAGAAATCGGACTCAGTTCGGAGATGTGCCTGTCGTCATGCTGATGTTTTGATCTTTCTCTGATGATTCAGATTTGAACTTTGCTCCAGGTATTGGTTCAATATGGCCGTGGTTAATGGCCTGTTGTTCCTCCAGACTTCAGCTTTCTTCCAAAATATTACTGCAATAGCAATACAATGCAGTAACACTACTCAAGTGCTTATTTTAGGTTGTTTATATCCCTAAAGACAACATGGTGAAATATAATACTTGTATTTAACTGACTATTTCAGGGATGTTTTGACTTTTGGTTTCCCATTAAATGAGTGTGACTCTAGACACAAAACCCTACAGTTCTATCAGGAAATATCCTCCAGGGTTCCCCGAGAAGGATGGGCAGCTCACTTAGCTAGTGGGAAATATTAGCGGGGGATATCTAGGAAGGAAGTCATAAAGCTGTTAAAAGGCTTAAGAAGCCGCAAAAGAGGGCCAAGGTGTTGGTAAAAATCTTTGGAGCGAGATCTGATGAGTTGGCGCCAGCTATTTTTAGATAATGGGCTGTAGAAGTATCCACTGAGGGACCAGCGCTGTGGCTTAATGCACTGGCATCCCATATGGGTGCCAGTTTGAGTCCCAGTTGCTCCACTTCTGATCCAGCTCCCTGCTGATGGCCTGGGAAAGCAGCGAAGAATGGGCCCAAGTACTTGGGCTCCTGAACCCACAAGGTAGACCCAGAAGAAGCTCCTGGTTCCTGGCTTTGGCCTGGCCCAGCTCTGGGCGTTGTGGCTTTTTGAGGACTGAACCAGTGGATGGAAGATCTGTCTTCTCTTTCTAACTTTGCCTTTCAAGTAAATCTTTAAAAAAAAAAATACACTGAGGCTGTATTAAAGATATTTTGGGGGCCGGGTGCCACGGGCTCAATAGGCTAATCCTCCGCCTTGCAGCGCCGGCACACCGGGGTTCTAGTCCGGTCGGGGCCGGATTCTTGTCCTGGTTGCCCTTCTTCCAGGCCAGCTTCTCTTGCTGTGGCAGGGAGTGCAGTGGAGGATTGCCCAAGTGCTTGGGCCTGCACCCATGGGAGACCAGGAAAAGCACCTGGCTACTGCCTTCAGATCAGCGCGGTGCACTGGCCACAGTGTGCCAGCCGCGGCAGCCATTGAAGGGTGAACCAAGGGCAAAGGAAGACCTTTCTCTCTGTCTCTCTCTCTCTCCCTGTCCACTCTGCCTGTAAAAAAAAAAAAAAAAAAAAAAAAAAAAAAATATTTTGGTGTATAATTGCAAACTAAGAATGGGATGGTTTTATGAGGTATGTTAAAATAACAAAACTCCAGGGGCCGGCACTGTGGCGCAGTAGGTTAATCCTCCGCCTGCAGCGCCAGCATCCCATATAGGCGCCGGTTCTAGTCCCGGCTGCTCCTCTTCCAATCCAGCTCTCTACTATGGCCTGGGAAAGCAGTAGAAGATGGGCCAAGTCCTTGGGCCCCTGCACCCACCTGGGAGACTGGGAAGAAGCACCTGGCTCCTGGCTTCAGATTGGTGCAGCTCTGGCTGTTGCAGCCTCCTGGGGAGTGAACCAACAGATGGAAGACCCTTCTGTCTCTCCCTCTCACTGTCTGTAACTCTCTCATATAAATAAATAAAATAAAAAAATAACAAAACTCCAAGGCCATGTCTTTCAAATATGGCCTTTGATGAGTTTCTATTTTGTGAATGTGAGGCACTTAGGTTTGTTTTTGTTTTTGTTTTTGTTATATATAGTTATGCAGAGAGAGAAGGAGAAACAGAGAGAGAGAGGTCTTCCATCTGCTGGTTCATTCCCCAATTGGCTGCAATGGCCAGAGCTATGCCAATCCAAAGCCAGGAGCCAGGAGCTTCTCCCTTGTCTCCCACGCAGTTGCAAGGGCCCAAGGACCTGGGCATCTTCTACTGCTTTCCCAGGCCATAGCAGAGAGCTGGA